ATCTGAAGTCGCTTACAGCACTCAGTTTCCTTATGGTAAAGACGGGTACAGGACGAACTGAAACAACATCCCAGTAAGCTGACTATAAAAATCTGCTTCGGCAGTAAATTTGTTTGAAAGTGAACTCTATAGACATAATAATTTAGTAGTTGCAGGGGTCATTTTGACACATATTAATAAGCTAGTTGAAAGGAATTTGAATAGGACGCTTAAGCAATCGTACGTTGAGGCCACTGCGAACAAGAGAGACGCTACGGTGGAGAGACGCTACCACCGGAGATACGTCTGAGTTTGCAGGCTACTGTGTGGCTGGTAAATTTCTTTACCTTTCTCTGAGCTGATTTTGCTGAATGATTCACGAGTCTGAGAACGTCTACACTCTGCCCACGACCGTTTTTTTCTTTCTATACTTGAATGCCACATCCGTCATTTCAATACGTGGACAATCTGGGCAACTCGCTATCCTACTTTGGAAGTCAGGGCTAAGTTGGAGGATAAAGTACGTAACAACATCCTTAGTTGTACTAACACATTTTCTTTTCTTCCTTTTTTTAAAAGTTTTCTGAGATAATATTCATCGATCATCAAACGGGTAACAAGGCTTACTTCAAACGACGTTCACGTTTATCTGTAACAGCGGCATCTAACTATAACAACCCAGCAAGTACCTATGGATTATGGGACGGAGAGGGAGTAAACAAGAATTACCCCTATCAATTGCTGATTTGTGATGATGATTTCTACTCTGGGTTTTTTGTTTCTGGTTACAAGAAGTGTTTCAAGGAATGTGACAGCTGGTGCGATGACAAAATAACACCATACTTCCGAACAACATCCACCGATCCAAAGTACAAAGGAGTGGCATTCAATATCAATGGTCATTATCCCCACGTGTTGGAAAATAGGCTGATCAGTGTTGGCCTCCGCTAGACAGCTTTTCATTTCAGTGCGAATGAACAGCGCCGAGGGGCCACCCCCACTCCTTTTTTGTCGAAAATACTGTTAAATTTCTAAATATTCGTTTGTCAGAAAGCAAGTAAACAAGAAGCCGAGATAAAGTAGCGAACAGGCATGTTAGTGATAGTGTGTGTTGGAGTGATCGTATTCCGGAATAAGAATTAGCAGAAATTCGTGACACTGAATCTCTTCGATCGCAAATTTTCGGTCCATTGAAATGAATTACTAACTTCCAACAGATTTCTATATTGTAGCATGCAATTAAAGCCAAAACAAGTGATTTTTAGCGTCCATTCCAGTAATTCTTATTTCGGAATATGGTCAATCGAATCGCACTTACCGAGCATCAGTCACTAATCAGCGTCTACACTCACCCGGGCAATACCACTGCAGAGTGTCACGCGAGAGACTGGCAACTAATAAACGACATACACAAAAAACGTTGGACGACAATACACAATTAGAAGCTCACGGATTCTTTTAATTGTTTTAAAGCTTAATAGGGATCAATGATTTAATTTCAAGAAACAAAACAAAAGCCTCTAGAACCATAATATATAGATATCTTTGAAAATTCATCTTAGAACACTCTTAATCTAACGAAGACAATCCCGTTTCAGTGTCCAGTTAGAGGGGATCTGAATATGGTGCTATTTGGTTCGTCAGGACCAAACAGTGAATATGATCTTGCTCCTACGTCAGAGAGCTTATTCTCTTCTTTCAGCTGAGACAACAGATCCAAACCGGAAAAACTTGAATACGTGTCGAACTTGACTTGTCGGTTATCCGGTTTGTCCATATCTTTCACCTTGGAAAATTCACTTTGGTGGGGCGTCAACTTTAATTCGCTACAAGCCTGACTTTTCTCTTGGTTTCGATTCATAAATTGGTTCTTTTTGAATGGTGGACTATTATACACGGGATTATGCAACTGATTGAAGGGCGGTTCAAGCTTTACTTTAGCGCAAACAACGTCGTTATTCAACCGAGTCTGTTTCGATCCTGTTTTCGATTCAGGTTGTCCAGGGTTCCATTTAGGCTCCACGTATTCTGGTACTTTCCATACTGACGGGGGTGGGCTCGGGGGCTCACTTTCACTACCCTCTGACTGAGACCTCTGTCTTAAGTACTGCATTGTTAACACAGGGGGACTAGGTACTTTAAGCGGTGATTTAGATGTTGTTGTACTCTCAAGCTTTTTCGTTGTCTTTGAGGTCGCAGTTAGTCTTGTCCTCCCAGAATCTACTCTTTGAAGTGAAATCTGTGACAAAAAAATAAATAAACAATGCAACATATGCACATTCAGGACAAAATGAATTCCATTCTTATTTGAACTGTCTCCGCTCAGCTGACTGAATATCTACCATCTTGCAAGTAATAAAAAGACAATTGGTTGCATAATGATTAAAGATGAGTCTACACTTCAACTAACCTTATCTGTTTGCCTTAGAGTCTCTCGCATTTCCTTTTGACGCTGTTCTTTGTACATCTTTAGTCTTTGTTCTTCTTTCTAGTCATGCGAAAAAAAATTGAAACATTCTCACTCAATATGCCTTGCTTAATAACCTGTATGCCTTTACTTAATAACCAAACGCAGTACAATAATAGGGCACTGAAAGCCATCTTCAAATAAAAAAGCATCCACGGCAGAAACAATGTTATTCATACAGAACAGAAACAAGCAATTTAGTTACAGACTTGGAGCCATGAAATAAAGATAATTTGTACAACACCCTTTCAAATACCAAATACTCTCATCCAAAATATGAACCAAAAAAGCATATGATATTCTTCTCACTTCTTTCTCCTCTCTTTCTTGTTCTTTTCTTCTCAATCTCTCTTCTTTTTTCTTAACTTTCTTCTCTTTCTTTTCTTCTTGCTTACGTTCCTGTAAAAGGTTAAAAAAATTACCTACATGAAACAGAATGAAGGTAGGTAATACTTTATTAAGAACTTTATGAATTAAAAGAGAAACACACTAGCCTCTACAACACTTGACAAGTTTCCATAGAGGCGTTTACACATAACAGCCATATATTAACTGCTACAATTACTTCTATTAGTACTATTACAGAAAGACAAAAAAAAAATTAAAGTTATAGTAGTTACTAAAAAGATAGACAACTTGACAAGACCCAACTACATTCCAATAAACTTCTTAAATGAAGTGAGTGACTCAGCGAGTTTTGCTTCATTTGAGAGTTGCACCCCTAAATTTTAGACTCCTTTTCAGAAACTCTCTCTTCAGTTTAGGATGTGTCAGATTAGTAGCCATACTATGTAGATCGTAATTAACCTGATCAATATTCCTTCTAACAAGAGTTTCTAAAGCAGGGGGAGATGTGATGAAGACAGAATATTCCATGTAAGGATATTGCTGTAATTTAGATCATTTATATTTTACTTCCATTTATTGGCAAATTAACAGTCTGTTGGCAAGTGAATTTATGATTTAATCAAAATATTTCTCTGTTCTAATAGGCTTTCATCCCCTACTGATAGATGATATCAGAAAGCCGAGGCTGATAACATTTACTAGGACCTTGATTATTCTGGATATCACGAAAACCTCCTCCAATAACTGTTTATTCATCAGGATAACTGCAGTATAGCAGGGCTGTCACTACGAGGTGGAGGCCGAGGATTTCCGCTAGCTACTTTCATAAGAAAATGGAAGAAAAATAGAACCAAAAGAAATCCCTAGCTGTTTGATTCCCTGCCTCCTTGTTGTATTTACCCAGCAACTTCTCAAACTCATTCATAATTCATAAAGAAAATACAAAGGCCTCTAACCCTAACCCTAACCCATCCTTAATTTCTCCTTCTTCTGTAAAATCATTTTGAGTAAGAAGTAATATAAAGCAGGAGACACAGTGTTTCATCACCAGATGAAACACCTAAAAGTTCATGAAAAAAACTCCTCTTTCCGCTCTCTTTTCAGTGTTTCATCTGGTGATGAAACATTGTGTCTCCTCCTTGATATATTACTTCAAATCTAAGTGACATCCCTGAGCATACTATAGTACTTACAGTTCATTAGGATAAATGCAGCACTGCAGATAGAAAGGCAGGCCTAAACCATACTTAAATTACTGGCTTTATGACTGTCGTCTTAGCGATGCGGTGATTCTCCGTAAAGATATTTCAGAGTATGACACATGCATGTTAGCCTGCGAAAACATCCGTTTCACCTCGCTCTTCACCGCTGGGGATGTTTAGCGCGGAGGAACATCTGCGACTCAGGGGCAGAAATTCCATACTGATGACACAAATCAATGTTTACATAATAAATCTGGTAGTCATGGGGTTCCAAATATAAATTTGTCTAATTTTAAGTGTCTTCTGGTTGATTTTGGTAAAGTGTTGTGTTCATTTGCCGACGAGCTCCAGCGAAACTCAAACGCTTCTTCTACAGAAGAGTACATTCCACAAATATTGTCTGTTTTGCTAGAGATTCTTCGTGTTTACATTTGACTTTTGTGGCCTTTTGTCTTTTGTCTGTCATTAGTAAACAATAGCTAAAACAATGTAACTACTCCACCGACCAATCAGCGCTTCTGACCGGATTCCGGACAGATTTTACATCATCAGTATGGAATTTCTGTCGTTGAGTCGCAGACGTTCCTCCGCGCCAAACGTCCCCAGCGACGAAGAGAGAAGAGAAACGGTTGTTTTCCCAGGCTACATCATGTAGGTGCAGGCCGGGCTATCACCAACAAAACTGTTAGCCCTTTTCAACCTTGTTGAAATTTATCCACACCAGGAGCTCATAATAATGTGGACAAAAACAATAATTTATAACATTATTATTATTATTGCAGTGCCAATAATAAAACGTAAAAGGAAAAGGAAATTACCATATAAAATTATGTATGCCTTTTGTTGGTCTTGCCCTAGTGCGACTTTTGCGTCCCAGTATGGGGGTTTTGTACCACCTGAATGGCAAGCTGCAAAGGGCCTATTATAACCAGGCTGCAGCCTAAGAAAATTTTAAATCCAAAACACCCAGCTATGAGCCGAGACCCATTTGTTAACTTTTAACTACTGTAAAACTTAACAATTTCGAAAAAAGTGTGACCCTCTCCAGGAAAACGTAAGATTGTCATTTGAGTTTTTCGCTGCTCGTTTCGGTTTTTTTTGTGTTCGTCTGTGCTTGGTAACCAAGCAAATGTTTCAAAGCACAAGTTTGACCAAACATGGCGGATTGTTTACACATTCCTTTTACACCTTCCCTCATTGCAAAAGGCTTAACAATGTGAGATGTTAGTTGGGAGACCTGTTTTTGCCAGATATTTTGACAATTTGGGACTGAATTTCGGTCCTTAGCTAACCTAACTTTTCAGATTCTTAGTTACGCGATCGGTTCGATCTTTTGCCAGTGCTTTTTCCTCGGCTTATGAGTGAATACATCCTCATTTAGTAGAGCTTCAATACACTGAAAAACTTTTGTTGTCAAAAACACTCGGCTATAAGCCGACACCCCTCTTGAGCTGAAATTTCACTGAACTTTAGCTTTAATTTGTGTCAAAATCACTTGGCTTATAGCCGAATAAATTAATAAGGTAAGTCTCCCTTTGACCGTCACACAATGCTAAGGAGCATTGCATAACAAGCCAAAACCAGAAGGATACTCGAGACTCAAACGAATAGAGTTTCAAAATGCAAAAACTGAGTCTCGAGTTTTGAGAAACCAGCACTTTTATATTCACCACTCGAAAAGATTTTAAGAAGGATTTCTTTCTTGAAAAACATGACGATAACCATTCGCCGACTATTAAATTTATTTTTGATGCCATTATCAGATGAGAAACTTAAACTCCACTGCAGTGCAAGTCACAGAAGCGAATTTCAAGACAAGTGCTTGTTTTTTAACCTTTTAACAGCGGAAATATTCTTTAACTATAGCCGACGACCAAACATTTTCCGTTTTTGTTCAAAAGTGCAGATTTTGCTGTTTATTCATAGGCAGTTAGCCTGAAAATCATAAGTTTCAGCCGCCCGTTCAGGCTCCCTGTTAGAAATTTTGGTCACCTGAGGGTAAATCGTAGGCGCCTCTGACAACCTGGCGCCCGTTAGGCGGCAGCCTTGTATGAGACCCTCTATTTTCCTATGAAAGTAGCTGGTAATCATGTTTATAATAGCTGCCCAGGGAAAATACCTTAATGAAAGCCTTGTTTTTCTTTTTCATAGGGAAACTATTTGAAACCAGATGTATCAGTATATTGCAGTAACAAGATAATAATAATAATAATAATAATATACACCTATATAGCGCCTTTCTCTTAGTGATCCAAAGCGCTTGACAATCATATTATATTTTTATAAATAAGACTGTAAATAGGTTTTTAATTTATTCATATTTTATTACCAGTGGGATCTTTTTAATTATTTTAATGTTATGAATTGTAAAGCGCTTTGGTCAATTAGTGGAGTTAGTGCTATATAAATTATGTTATTATTATTATTATTAAATACTTAGAAAACAAATAATTCAAATACAACATAACAGGATTTAAAACCCCAACTGGCAGGAGGCAACCAGTTGGCTACTTACATGCGTGGCCAAGGATTTGAACTCGGGACGACCGAGAACAAATCCAGCAAAAGGCCAGAGCGGGACTCAAACCCAGGACCGCCGGATTGCGAGTCTGACACGCTGACCACTCGGCCACACTGCCTCCCTAACAAGAGTGTAGCAAAATGACTGATGTCTGCAGTGCTTAGGTACCCTAATCCACTGCACTCAAATATGGAATTATTATTCACACAGTGTTCAAATGCTTTGAAGTATGCTCTGAATTGATATACATAGAACACAAAGTTATACAGATTATGGCTAGGGTACGCCCATCCACACAACTTCTTATAAGAGCAGCAATGTGAAAAATAAACAAAGCATCATTTACATTCTATTCCGGCTGACATATAATTAGCATTACATTTTCAGTGAAACCGAGTGTGTATTTTAATTGATTTAGTACTCACCAACTCAATTTTCCTGGCTAAATCAAGCTTTCTCTGGTTGTCCTCTTTTTGTTTGTATTCATCAACGACTCGAACATTCGTGTGCTAAAAAAAGAACAAACCGAGAATTTCTCAACAGCTGGAATCATCCAGACAAAGGAGAGTTGACAAGAAATTTTATTTAGGTTTCAAATTACAGCTGCCTAAAATATGTTTGTTCATTATATCCTCGATTCTTATACCGAAAAATAGTTAACGGCCTTCCTTTTTTCAGAAATGAAGGAATCTATAGGCAGAAAAAATATATATAAATCATAGTGTTAAAGCAAAACGAAAGTTTTTGAAGGAAGCGATTTTTATCTGTCCGTCGATCAAGAAGCCAATGCAAATTATTACGAGAACATGTTGTTTTGAATTTGGCAACGATAAATGAATGTGGTCGTATTTTTTTGCATTTACATGGATAATGCTTCCGTTTGAAGTTCGTTGTTCGGTTACTGACCTCGACAAAACTTTGATAATAAATGTTACATATTTTGTCTGCGAAATATAAACAAATACTCGTGGCTGTTGTTTGAAATGGAGTAAAATTAAAGGAATACTGGAAAAGATAGCAGTTGACTAATTACGTAAATCGACAGTAAAAATGCGTCTGAAAAATAAACGAACGAAGCCTAATAGGAAAATTATAGTAAAGTCAGTCGATATAAGCTTAATCAAATAAGCAATTTTTGGCATTAACCAATATGAACGTTCGGTTGGGCAGCATGTAATCAAGTTGAACGTCAAAACGGGCAACGAAAAGATTTTTACGAGATTATCAGTAATGGCAAATATTTCTGCCATGACAATACCTGGATTTGTTGTGTAACTGTTTTTCGCTTCTTAGCATGAGATTGTTGGTCCCGTTCACGGTCTTTCGGTTTACGACTTGAGCGCTTGTCGACCACATCTTTCACGTTAACCTGCGACCAAAAATTCAACTTACATCTGGATACAAAATCTGTCAGTGGATAAGTGCTAGAAGAGGCCCGCTTTAAAGATGAAGAGAGTTGAAAAGACGGAAGACAGACTAACCTCAGACGAGAAAAGAGACGAACTAAGGGCAAGAATGTAGGGCATTTAGGATTACCTGATTGGAATTGTCCGACTTGTTGGCCCGTTTTGTAAGATGTGTTGCTGTTAAACTGATGACGATAGCGGAAAATATAACGCTTTCAACAGACTGTGGAAAAAAGTATAGGGTATTAGGAACATCACAAATTATCGCTTGGGATAAAATAGTTCTCAGAGACGCGACCACAGCTATCTTTAGCCAAAAATAACGCGTTACAAGGAGTCAAGAACAAGAATCTACCTACCTGCGTTATCAAGGGAACCACCACACATCCAACAACCGACCCAAACACACAGAAGACCGAGTACTGGTCAAAAAATCCTCCTCCGACCGCCATACTGGCGTTTCAACGCTGTGGATAGTTCAAATCACATTCTCAAATAAACAGGTAAACATTCATATGTACGTATTTGAAATTCGATCGAAGATGTGATCAAAAGAACGTCCGATCACTCGACCGAAAACATTTCAACATTCGTTGCTACGAACCTCGAATATTCGCTCCCAATCGGCTTTCAAGCTTATCAAGAGGTTACTTATCACTTTTGGTAAAAAAAAATACTGACATAAAGTTGATTCACTGTTAAATAACCGACGCCACTTCCGTGATTCGCTCTCTCATTTCCAGAGCCAAACATGTAAGATGAAAGTGAAGCACAGTGGACGCATAAATCGTTTGTGACGTCACATCAGGTGACGAAGGCAGAGTTGGCGCAAAAAGATCACGAATTAATTTTCGCGCCAGTCCCTAGGCAACCATTCTTTTTGAAAGAAAAATACGATGATTTGTTGAAAATGCGAAACGCAGCATCTAAACTTTGAAAATATGCTAAAAAACAGTGCTAAGAAAACGCGCTCAGCCAGTAACTTATTCTAAGCATAAAATAATAAAATCCATCCATTTTTCAGGCCCCAGATCCTCTTGTGTTATTAAGGGCAAGCTGAAACAAACAAAGATACCAACTTCAAACACACCTTTTTCATAAAGAAATGTAACTCCATCAGATGTAAAACCTTCCCCTTCATTAAAGACGGTGTATCATCATGTACATTCAAAAACACTGGCCAAACTTACCTCATCAAGCAGACGATCAAATGTGCCTATAAAAATCTCGTTCACATCATATAATGTCGTAAATGTAAAAGCACCCCAAACACACCAGCGGAATACTTCGGACCAAGAGCCATAATTATGGCTCTTGTTCGGACAGACTAAACGAGCTTTAAGAGACAGATATGGAGAACACCGCAGAGCGATACAAAACAATACTGACGACGCAGTACCCCCAGTACCACACCATTTTAATCAACCCGGACACCAACTTACAGACATCGAACTTATCCCACTCCGGCGAACTTATCAACATCAAAAGAGAATCCATACGTAGAGCCCGCGAACGTTTTATATTGAAAAGGCACAACCATGCAGCCACAGGGAATAAACAGAGAGGACGACCTTTACACTATTTACAGTGTACTTATTAATGTCATTATTATTATATCATTTATTTCATTTTAATTTATTTTATTATTCTGGCTTCTTCTTCTTCTTCTTCTTCTTCTTATTGCTATTATTATTGTTATTATTATTATTATTATTATTATTATTATTATTATTATTATTATTATTATTATTATTATTATTAGTCCAAGTGCCTATATGTTCTAGAATTAACAGTTGGTTTCGAGTCTAACCTTAACAATAAAGCAGTGCGTAAGAAAGAAAAATATCTGAACTTGATCAACGAAATGAGTAGAAATTACAGATGTGTGAGATTTGTAAATGTGTCCATGAGTTCCCTTGGCGTTTTCTCCGATGAATGCTCCACGTTCTTGGACATGATGAATGACATTGGCATTGACAAAAAGCCGCAACGTTATATAATCAAGAAAATGATAAATATAGCCATTAGAGCAACATATTACATCTTTTGTTATAGAAATAGGAACTGGGATAGCCCAGACTTAATGCAATTTTGATTTTTTTTTTTTTGACTTTTGTTTTGTTTTGTGTTTGTGTTTGCTTTTGTTTTTTGTTTTGTTTGTTTTTTGTTTTTTTTTAATAATCCAATCTCAAGCAGCATTTGTAAATTGCCTATACGTAGCGAGATTTACAATTGTACATTCAAAAACACAAATAAAGTTTCCATTATTATTGTTATTATTATTATTATTATTATTATTATTATTATTATTATTATTATGTCGCAGTATGAAACTTTGGAATGCTGTCCACATTATGAGTAGTATAGGGCGCATAGCGTAACCTACACCACTTGAGAAGCTATACTTAGAAGTAAAAAAAGGTCGATACGAAACCTAATACAATCCTAAAATACATAGTGATACTTAAAAAGCCAATTTAGAATATTATTAAATTCTGATACTCTGTAAAACTTTCGCTATCTCTACTAAAAGCTTATACATAGTGATATAAATCTCTCTACTAAAAAAGCCAATTTAGAATATTATTAAATTCTGATACTCTGTAAAACCTTCGCTATCTCTACAAAAACTTATTTATAATAATATCAAACTCTAATGTTCTAAAAAATCTAAGTAAAAACGTCAGCAAGCTTGTGTTTCTAGATTTCTAGAGAAAAAACAAAAACCTAAAAACTGAAGTCCATAGCGCCCTAACTAAGTATTTATCTTAAATGTTCTGGCAATGTTTAAAGTGTTTGAGATGACCGACTTCTGCATCCGCTCAAGAACGCTCCGTGCTCTCGCTCCAAGTAGCTTCCTCACCGACTTCTCTAGGTGTTTAGAGTAACCCCCAGTACGTCAATTATTACGTTGTACTGTTCAACCCTGTAACCATTGTATCTCTGCTTCAGCTCCCACATCATGGGCCCATACTTGAGTGTCTTTTCCTCATCTTTCTTAGCTCTACTCTCAATCCATGGGCAGCTCATTTCAATTGTGCAGACTTCTTTCCTCTCGTGGCTGACAAGTCGCGCGTCGATCCGATTTGCTCTGACTTCGTGGTGCTCTGCATAGATGGGAATATCCCAAAACGCCTCACTCGTGGTGTTCTGGTAGGCTGGTTTTGGCATCACCGGTGAGTACCATGGTGGAACCTCTTCCATTAACCCATGCTCTCGCAGGAGCTCAAAAAACAGAATCTTCAAAGCTGCATTATGCCTGTATAGGTACTTGGTTTGTGCCAGGGAGGAACATCCAGCCAGAACATGTGCAACGCTCTCAGCTACCTTCCCACATAACCTGCATAGAACTTCGCGTCGGTGGAAGTTTGCGTCTTCTCCTTTGTGTAGAGCTTCGTAGGTAACAACTGCTCATACAATTCATACATGCCCGCGATGGTATGTGTAGGGCATGTAGCCCAACCTTTTAACCATGCAAAGCAGCTGGTTATGCTTAGGCTCTCATCTTCCCATCTGATACGGAATAACTTTCCTTGCCACTTTTTGTCTTTAGCGATCTCCAAGAACTGCTTCTCTTGAGATTGCTTCAACAGATTCCCAGCTCTTGCTGCAGTTACCACCTTTCCTTCTGTTGTAACACACACGGGATTTAGGGTATCAAGCTGAAGTGTGATGTTGAGTTCTTCAGCGTACTTAGCTGCTTCCTTTACGAGCGACTGGTGGCCTGATGCCATGGCGTGTTCTTCAAATTCTCTAACTGCTTCCACAGTCTGGTCCGGGTTCTGATACAATTTCAGTAGCGATTTGATTTTAGTGATCTTGTACTCGTGTTCGACTGATCGCAGGCCTCTACCCCCTTTCTCCCTCGGTAGATATAACAAAGAAGTCAGGCTAGCTGGGTGCTTGCCACCGTTCTCAACTATGATCTTCCGAGCTGCTCTGTCCACATCTCTTAACTCTGATAGAGGCCAATGCTGTGTCCACATTAGGTACCGCAGGACCGGGAGTGCATACTGATTAGTTGCCTGCACACGGTTACAATCAGACAGGGGGCTGGACCATATAATAGATATCCTGCGTAGATACTCTTTAGCCGCGCAAGCTAGGGCCAGCCGTTCATCCTGTCGAACGTTCTCTAGCACCCCCAGGAATTTGTAGTGTTTTCCTTCCCCAAGAGCCGTGATGGTAGTTGTCTCGTCCATCCTCATACCAGACTCGTCTAGCACTTGGGCTCCCCTCTTCACGTGTACCACTGAGCACTTTTTCTGATTCCAGTGGAGGCCGATGTCCTGCATCGCTCCTCTAGTCTGTTTCAGCACTCGGTTCAGCTTGCTCTCGGAGGCAGCAAAAACCTTGAGGTCGTCTATATACAGGAGATCGGTGACTTTGACTCCTATAGGCTTGGATAACCGGTATCCCTCTGTTGCCCGCAGGCGCCACGCTACAGGGTTCAGGCACAGTGTAAACAGTCTAGGACACAAAGCGTCCCCCTGGGGTAGTCCCTTCATGAACCTTATTTTTCTAGAAGTCTCTCGCCCTTGCCTTGTTGTAGCTACTACTTTAGTATTCCAGCTCGCACACAACTTGCGTATAACCTCACCCAGCCAGACGGGAAGCCTGTGTACGTCAGTCATTGCGCATAACCAATCATGATCGACGGAGTCGTAGGCTTTGCGCACGTCAATCCATGCCATACTTAAATTCCGTTTGCCTCTCTACAATCCAGCATTACTGCTCTATCGGTTAGCAAGTTATCCATCGTACCGAAACACCCTGATTTCGCTCCTCTTTGCTGGCCTTCCATCAGCCCATAATAGTCAAGGTGTTGGTCCATGGGTGCCAGGAGGCAAGATGTAAACCACTTATACATGTTATTCAGACAAGTAATAGGTCCTTGATTTTCACTGAGGAACTCGCCTTCTTTCGGAATGAGGGAGGTTTTCCCTTCAGAAAAACACTCGGGGTAATCTTCGTCGCTCTTAGAAACTTCTTTGAAGCTCTCGACCACACCCTCGTGCAGGGTGCTAGCACGTTTCCACCAAAAGTTAGTGATTATTATTATTATTATTATTATTATTATTATTGTATGTGTTTATTTATTTGCTTTCATTTATTTTTAATTTTTAAAATTTTTTTCCCAGTTGCCAAATTATCTTATTTGTCTGAATCGGTTGTCATTATTGGCCCCCAGTTTAGTTTTTTAACATTACCTTTGTATCAAATTTCCAACTGCTACTCGTCTATACTATTGAATTGTAACGACTTTCCCATCATTCATTAAATCCCCTAAGGAAGGATGGCTTGTCCGCAGAAATATCGGGAAACCTCAAGTCGCTTTTCTCCTTGTTGTTTTGTTACTAATGTCTATATATTTGTCTTGGATAAAACAACAGGATTTGGCTGTGGTCATTTGCACTTCAAGTCACCGGGTCCGCGAACCCAACTTGGAAAAGTGTCGGAAATATCAGAAAAACAAGCATTTTTCTTTTCACCTTTAAATTCAGTTTTCCCAGTGGCTGCAGTATTCAATAAGGCTATTAAAAGGCTACCATTTCTCATGGTACTGGGGCTGTACATTTTTTTCTAGTAAAATACCTGGCTGATAAAGATTGTGCTCCTATAAAATCAAGATATTGTTTTCCTTTTTTTTCCAACACCCGTTCAAATTTTCTTCATCCTTGTCTTTAAAGCTGACGTCCCTACGCGCGGCGGATTTCCTAAGTGAATGTTACATCATAACCAGGGAATTTTGTTTTAAAGGACTGAACGCACCTTTTTAAGTAACATATTGCTGAGGAGAGACATCAAATGCTTTACAATGAGTTGGTACTTCAAATACGCAGACCACTAAGATCCCGTGGGTCCGGACAAATTTTTGACCTGTGTAACTCGTTTACACGGAACCGTGCAAATACTGTTATAGATTGCAGTACTCAAAAACTTGCACGGTTCCGCGGGTCCCGCGTCCGTTCAAAAATTTGTCCGGACCCGTGTAAACGGGGTCTAACGCGGTAAACCTTGATCGCAGTAGCTGATAAGGTGATACTCCGTAAAGAAATATCAAAGAGTCAAATGTTTTCAAAAAACAGAAACGTTTCGGGTTTATGACCCTTCTTCAGTGTGAGAGAAAAAACCGTTGTACTGTACTACGTAATAACATAGACATCATAAAAATGATCGAAGCACGCGCGCGCAGGATGTATATTCATTCGAAGTGGACAAACTGCAAATTCGAGTAGTCGCTAAAAAATATATTTGCGTGTGGTAAATGTTCATCAGTAGGATGCATAAAAAGTGTGCAATTCCACAATTGGTTTCCGCTCCATTAATTCCCTATATAACGTCCCAATTCAAATGAAACTGAAATTGATATTCAGTCCTTTTGGCTGAACGGTGCCTAGATGAAAAATCAACCGCATCTCACGTTGTGTTCGTTGAATGTTAGTACCACTGCATACTGCAACATCACGCACCTAGACATCAGAAATACTGTGGCCAGTGGAGTTGAAATGTTGGGCCACAGCAAACCCAGGAGTGTTGTTGCGTATACCCTGATCACAGGTTAAAATTCCAGCATAAAAACCCGCCGTAATAAGCAAACATAACGCCTCAAATGCAAGTCCCGTGGATATAAGCCTTTTCCATAATAACCAGTTTTATTTTCTATTACTATTTTACTTTACATAATGAAAATTAAGAAATAAAATTCCCTAGGAATAATGTTTAAGAAGAGGAGCAGAGATGACAATTTGCAAACAGTTAGGATACAACTTTTCAGTCGTTTCGTTCTGATTCAGAGCAACAGAGGCCAAACTCTTGAACAACTAGGTTTTAAAATATAAAAAGTGACTATATTTCTCTTTCCTTTTAGTGTTTGCTACAAAAAATTGAGATTAAATATTGTTACTAATTCGATTCGTAATTTTAATAGTTATAATAATAAGGATTACAGTAGTACCTTCTACACAAACATTCTCAGGCTCCAGTAATTTTAGAGAAAGTTTAAAAGAATCCCAGAAAAATCGTGAATAAGACCAGGAAAGATCGCCTAATATCATGTGTAAGATCATCAACAGTATAAAAGACATAAAAGAATATTGAGAGTAAATAAAAACTCTAAAAAATAAATAAAAAGTCTGAAATTTGCTCAACGAGTCAAAGGAGGAATAAAACATACTAAGACTATGCATCCTTCAAGATATTTATTATATACACTGGAAAGTACAGTAAACAAATTGTAAACCAATGTAAGCTTTACATTTCCAGAACTTATACTTTACAGTCCAATTTACAGTAAATTGCAATAATAGCTAGGTTAATACATTACATTCTTGAGAAAGTTGTACAAACATAATCACAGCAAATAGAGCGTACGGATAAATTAACAATGTCATCTGACTGTCCCAGCTCTTTCATCAGGTAAAAACAAAAATAAAACTGATCAATTGGCTAAAAACACTATGACATTAACGGACATCATAAAACAATTCATTTAACGTCACGATATCTCCAGAATTTCATTCCCCAAAATAAAAACTGTACCCACTTTGTGGAAAAATATTTTCACTCCTTTTCGCTTGTCACTCAAGTACACAGGATAGGGGAGATGTCCTGGTAACGAAATTTATTTGAAGGCATACTCCTCCTCCCGTCTCCATCTGGGCCCAATCGGGTGACAGAGAGACGCAAAGCTTTTTGTTATTCTCATGGAGGTATACTTAAGGTCTTTTATATTATGCATCATATTGCTATGGACAGAACCTGGCAGTATATGTAAAGACTATATAGAAGGTGTCATATTTTCTTCCAAAAAATAAGGTCAAGGTAAGCATTTTCACTAAACACTGCAGTCTAATAAACTGACTCAATGAATTCACCGAAAAGGGTGTCGAGGTTAAGTGGGAAAATGAGTTCTTTCAGGTCCTATTCCAACAGTCATCTGTTTCTTCTATTATGTAGCAGATTCTTCAACAATAAAGCTTTTTTTGATTGAGACCGCTGGATACATTTCTTGCAACCCTTCAACGATTTCAACTGTTAACTGCGAGCAGAAAGACACGTCAAGAAGTTTCAGATGCTTGCATTGTCTTAGCAGTCTGCGAAAACAAACAACAAAAATCCGGTAAACATAAATCAACGAAGGTAATATACACCTTGATTTTGCAGACGATTGTTAATTACCCTGTAGTTCCCCGTTTTCGCTTCGTCTGTAAACTAGTTCCTGTTCCCTAACGAGAACTGAAGAATATGGTTTAGCCTTAAGTGAGACCAAAGCAATGAGTAGTGTGTTCTGAAAATTAAGTACCTGTACGTGGTGGTCTCACTTGCGAGTCTGTGGATGGGTAACCATTTAAATGAAAGCAGCACTACTTTCTCGTGGTACTGTTTATTATACTGTACAATGTGATTCTAACTTTTGAGTCTATGGATGAAATCCTGATGGGTAACTATTCAAATGAAAGCTACTGAGCAGCACTTTCCTGTAGTACTGAAAGTACTTTTCATGTCTTCTGTTAATTACGGTGTTCAAATGAATTTTTTTTTCATGTTAACATAAAAATCGTATAGTGTGACCAGTGAAATAAAAGCGATTGATCAGTAACATATTGTGTGTAGTATTGCTTATTAGCTGTAAGTAAAATGACAAGGTCACAGCCAGCATTGATTTTACCTCATGATTGACTCAGCATGAATTAATCCGGTACCAAGAACGTCTACCTGCTCGATATCAGGACAGTTGTTTGCTAATGCATTTATAATATCATCATTGACAGACCTACAATCCACAATAGTATTTATACCATCAGTCTTGAAATAACCTCCTCTTCTAGTTTGCCCTCTCGTGCTAATTCCTAAATAATTGCTGACAGGAATGGGGAGCACATTGCAAGTAAATTATAATGATGATAATAATAGTAATAAAAATGATAACTTTAAGGAGTATATGAAGCGAATCGGCGTGAACGTAGTGTTGGAAGTTGGTTGTTGGAGGTTGGAAGTTATCCAGAAAACAGCACTGTTGGGGACAGCAAAGATACTAAGGAAAGTACTGTCCCTGTAAGAAGAAGGAAAAGAGAGACCTGGGTCCTGTGGTGACTTGTTGTAACCCGCTCCCAAGGACTATAAACCAGGCTGAACATCCTGTCTGAGTCTACAAGGAATGGACATAGTAATAATAATAATAATAATAATAATAATAATAATAATAATAATAATAATAATAATAATAATAATACTAATACTAATAATAATACTAATACTGCTAACAACTAATAATAATCTACATTTAACAATTATTCTTTGAAATCGAGGTGAATAGTGGCGAAATATTTACCGAGCCGCGAAAGCGTCGAGGTAAATATTTAGACTAATTCCCAAAGTCACTATTCACCGAGATTGAAAAGAATAATTGTTTTAGTATATACACACGAAGTGATCTCAACAAAATCAGAGAGGAAACCATTAAAAAGTACGATTTGATTGACAGATCAAATCACGCGTATTGCTCGAGGTAAGACGTCGTCTTCCTGTATCATTCTTTTTCCTGTTTACTTGAAACGTAGAATTTCTGCAAACATTTCCTTTTAAATTTGTTTGTCATAAATAAACTTCGATTTTTGAGCCAAAATTTTCCTGCTAGAAAACGCTGAGTTCACGAAACGGCTTCTTCTACGCGAATACAAGGGAGTTGTAAACAATCCATCGAGCACAAAACTCAGCTACAGTAAATTGAAAAACGCCGTAATGAATCCTTCCAAGTCTTTTCTTGCCTTAAAAAAGTCAGCTCTAGGATTTTGTCGACTTTTGAAAGATCGTTCTCTAAAAAAATGGGGAAAACACCGAGCTCACACATTATCCACTCGCTAGGAGGTGAATATTGTTGAATAGTCCGAGATAGCGAACCAAGCAGATTGCTTAAATCACCAAGATCACTGAGTGTGTATATACTAAATGTAAATCTTACATGGAATGAATAGAAATGAATAGTCTTTGTAATTTATGGAACCCTGCGCTTAACTATTCTAATAGCATACAACACTATCTCTTGTATGCCTTCTAACACCCTTCTAGCAGCATTTTTTGGGGGGAGGGGGGAGGGGGTCATATCTAACTGTTTAAATGTCTAGCATGCCTTACCTTAGAGCTGTGAGAAAAAGCTTCCTGAGTTTTTTGCATTTGGATGTCAAATAGACCACGCATTCAGGGGCAGAAGTCACATTTGTACTGCAAATAGGCAGGATAAATAAAAATAAATAACACAGAAGACCTAAACTTACACTTTCTAGAAAAACTTTCCTACCCCCACCCCTCCCCACCAATGCCCTCTACATGTAGGTACAATCAACCAAGCAAATTTACTTAAACACTTAGCACCTAGGAGCACATATGATCTCATAAGTGCAGTTCAGAAGTTTAACTCACCACCAGCCAATATCAAGCTCTTCCAGTAAAGAGCAGCCATCAGCTAAACACCTAACTCCTTTGCCAGTCAGTCCTTTATTCCGCCACAAATCCAGCGATACTAGGCCTCTTAATACAGAAAAACAAATTAACGGAAAGTCAGTATTTGTGGACAATTTCTAAATTTATCATGACAAGCGACAAACTATGCATTCCTTATTTTATGTCAGTATGGTGCGTTCACTTTACCTCCCCCCTTCTCGAACAATGTTATTTAACAAGGAAAGGAAAGTCCAAACAAGGATTTGAAGTCACACCAGGGGATGGAACTCGAAACCTCTGGCACAGAACGTGCTAACCAACTGTGCAAATCTTTGCCCCTCTAGGTTATTCTGGACAGTGATTATAATGATGATGACAATGATAAGGCATACAATGATGAGATAGTGATGATGATGATGATGATGGATCTGACACCTGCGATAAAGACAATAATAATGATAATGACGATGATAGACAGGATGATGACGATGTTGAACCTTATGGTAGCAATGGTAATAACAATGCTGATAATGAAAATGATAATGAGGGTAGTGGTGATGCTTCAATGATAGTGATGACAAAGAAATAATTACAAATTGTAATAACAATTAGGATAGTGATAACAATGATAATGATGCCGACAGTGACAAGGATGATGATCATGATGTCGATGATGATCATGATGATCATGATGTCGATGATGATGATGATGATGATGATGATGACGATGATGACGATGATGACAATGATGATGATGATGGTAATAATGATGATGAAAAAAATAAAAATAAAAGTAAAACTTTACTGGCTTACACAATTACTGGTTAGTCCACTTAGTTTACATTGTGGGCCCAATCTACAACTAATTCCAATTCTAACATGTAAGAGATGTCGTAAAAGGAAGTTAAAGGGTAAAAAATGATGATGATGATGATGATAGTGGTGGTGGTGATTAAGATGCCTCATAATGGTGATAGTATGGGTGATAAATGCAAGAACAATGATGTCACATAAAACATAAAGCACAAAAGCAATATGTTTTTTCACTTACCTGCAGTGAACACTAAGTGATTGCATCAACAGGTCACATTCCATTACAACATCACAGCCACCAAGGTTGAGGTGCCGAAGGTTCTTTGCAGAACTAAAATGGAAACAAGTTGAAACTGGTTCTAACGTTTAAACAATAAAACATTCTCATGAAAAACTACGTAAAGAAAACAGTAGATGATATGTGGTTGGTTTGAAAAAATGTGACCACCAGCTAGCCACTCTCCTCCCCTAATGAAAAAACACGACATGAATACACTAGAAGAGGAGCAACTGTCCACAAGTTAAGAGCTTCAAAACTTGCGATTCTTCACTTAAATCTAACTATTAAGATAATATTTTGTTCTTATTATTTCACTGAGGGAGCCTATTCCTTATAAGCCCATGGCTTCTCTTGGGCTTCCTCACCATGAGAGTTTAAAATAATAATTAAATTCCTTGCTTTTGTACAACTTATGGCAAAACAATAAACTGAAACTGAAACTGAAACTGAAACTATTAACGTTATGCGACTCCAATAGCTGATCTGCCCAGAGACTTAAAGTAATGGTTTTTAGACAGGTAAGACCACTAAAGACAACAAGTTTCGTATATCCAGTACTGGCTGATGCACGAGACCTTACTGTAGTATGATGACTACTACACTGTACACACAGTTTGTACCTACTGAATCAGTTGTTCCACTACATCATCTTGGACCTTGACTCTATAAAGATTTATTCTTTGTAATTTCTTCAAGTCTTGAAGCCTCAACAAACCTTCTCTTGTCAGTGAGTTTGAATTGCAAGATTGAAGATCAAGTTCTAATAAAACAAAAAGGGTTGAGACAACTAAGTATTAAGAGGTACAACAGCTAGGGTATTACATCGACACTAAGGGCCAGGGCATCCCTGCAGTCCTCTATGTAAGATTAAAAAGAAGACTTCAATGGCTACTTACATGAGTAAGGGATTGGGAATGAGAATGAGCAGGCGGTGAAATTAATTGATTTCCAAAACCGAGGTAATGTTTTATCAAGTACTTCCACGATGATATAATTAACGACTTTGGAACACATCTCTGGGAAAGTCGCTGAAGAAAATGTGTTCCAAAAAATTAATAATCATCGGTTGATTCACAGAGACGCACTCTTAAACACGTTTGTTTGTATGAATTAATTTTCTTGCTTTTTGGCAACTTCTACTTATATTACAACAATTAAGTCTCCATAAAAACTCCCCTAAACCTATACATGACAAATCATTTCTATATAAAATTATTATGGTTTTCAGTTAAAGAACCTGAGGCATTGAATTTCAACTCCAGGATCTAATTTATTAAATTAGATGGCAATAAAACAAACAAACAAACAAACAAACAAACAGACAAAACAGTTTTTTTTTGAACAGAACAAACCAAGTCCTCACTAATCTCTTCAAGACAACAATCAGCAAAGGTCTCAAATAATGGTGTGGACACAAAAAGATGTGCGATCAACAGAAAAGGAGGCGTGTTTTTGATTCCTTGATATTGTGCGAAATGACAAACCTTCTAAGTTTGGACAATATTGGCCTAGATGTTTTATCACATCATTGTCCACGTATTGACAACAGCTCAGTCTCAGACAGACAAGGTTACTTCCACAGTGCTGTAGGAATCTGTTAAAATGATCAAATGATATTTTCTTTTGAATCTTGTATTCCGATAGGCCTTTTAGCAAGGGTCCTGTTACGTAACAGGGCATCTTTTACTGACTAAACAACTGGCTCAAAGAGTCTCAGTATTTGAGGGCGAGGATGAGCCCAAGCTGACGCAAACTCATTACTGAGAAGTCATGAGGGAGAGAGTTGCAGGTCACATGAAGAGGTTGTCCTTGCACCTCGCTACCCTTGAAGTTTGTGTGTGACACTTCACTTCTGGCAATTCCCAAATGGATAGCTTGCTTACAGGCTATGCTGAGACCATTATTTTGTCTTTCAATGCTGCATTAAAATGTTGCATCACATTGACTCGCCCAAGCACAGTCAGTCTACTTTTTCCTTTGTGTCACTAAACACAATCATCCTTCCATTTGTAGAGGAAATGACACAGCATAGTCTAAATAAATTTCACTTAACTCTTCAAAAATGCTCATCATCCAAGTTGCAATTTCATATTTGTTGTTGTTATCAAACTAACTCATCATTATGTGAGAAGTAAAAGACCTGGCAAAGTTTACCTGATAATTGAGTCACTACTGATGGCCTCATAGGGACCTGACCATGACAAGTCAAGCTTCTCTGTTGATGAACAACGAGTGTGTAAAGAATCAAGGACTTCACTTGTTATCTGATACAAAGAACACAACATTTCAGTCACTGAGTGCAGACCTACAAAACTATTAGTCGCACTACTGATAAAACATTTGCTGTTATTTTTACAAAAGTCAAAAGTTGAATGCAGAGGACACAGAATAAATACTAAAAGGGTTGAAGAATTCTAGTTTGTGATTTACCAGCAGATAAACACACTATGTCTTGCTAGATTTAGAATGAGCTCAAAGTTACATTATACTGAATGTCGATAATTCTTGTTCGGTATAAGTATTTATATTTATAGAGTAGCCAGCTCCTGCATTATTTGCACATAAATCACTGACATCAGTCTCCTGTATCTTTCAATTAAACTTATTGCTAATGATGAGCTTGGGACCAGGTGCCTTAAAGGTTAGTGGGGGGCCAAATGCAATAAGCAGAGAGGAGGTATCCATAGCAACCCTGGAAGCAGGAACCACCCCAAGAGCAGCCACTAACCAGCACCGTTAAACTGAATGAAATTTAGTGGAGGTACTTACTTAAGAGAATACTTACCTGAGAAAATACTAATGAAAGCACCAAGCTGGGAGGGAAGAGAGGGAGCAAGAATCGGCAATGATTCATAAGAAGGCAAAAATTGATGTGCAACAATCAGCAAGCAAAGCTACAATGCAACGCAACACTAGCAAAAGAGCACACAAGGAGCCCTGCAATTCCCTGAGGACCACCCCATAGGTCACGTACTGGAGTGGGAGATGAACGCTGGCCAACTCACTCGAGTTTAACTTTTCCTAAATGATATTTGGCCACATTAAAACTTGGAGAAAAACATGTACATACCAGGCTCCAATAAGGCTTCAAATCCAGTTCCTTGTACCATACTTGGTCATAGCAATGTTGAAAAAACAACCTGTAGTATTAAACCACATAAACAAGTTACAAATAAAACAATGAAACATCCCAACTGTCACCATTGCAACAAAGAACAAGCAAGAAATTATCTTTAAAATTAAAGCTGATGATGTCATAAATACAAGGATTGTTTTTTTTCATGGGTAGTTTCAGGCTGCCATTTCAGGTGTCATTTGGTTAAACCCTAAACCTATGTTACCACTCCATACCCCAGGACATACAAGACTTAAGTTGGGATAATTTCATGCAAAACCACTGTAACACCAATGTCAATTATTACAATTCAATATTTTACTGGATTTCCTGCATGAAATACTTGTTTCAACTAAATCAAGGACATGTTATAAAAATTGATGCTATTGAGTTGCAAAAGGTGAAAACTTTGTGGTGTTGTTCACCCCCAAAGAACTTTGCTTCTCTAAAATTAATGAAACTACATCGTATGTTACACTACGGTGACAAGGTAATAAAACATTCTTACCTACAGGTGCCAGCAGCTCTAATGAGGTCTATTAACTCCAGAAAAGAGAAGATGTACTGTATCAACTCACTCTATTAACGATCAAAAGCATCAATTAATACAGTAGAATATATAAATGACCAGGCCTCAGTTGTTCAAAGGCTGGATAGCGCTATCCACCAGATAAATCTCTTTGGATAGAGATTTATCTGGTGGATAGTGCTATCCAACGTTTGAACAACTGGGGACTGTATAATAATATTCCTGTGCTCTGATTGGTCTAAGATTCATGTTTATGCTGACACACTTAAACCACACACAAGGCAATTATAGAAAGTACTAATATTTTCAGATGTTTCTGATAAGTTGTATTTGACAAAAAAAGAAAAATGCCATCATTGCTGAGCAATGCACTACAACACATGCCTTCTCTATCTTATAATGAATTAGCAACAATGAGTACAGAAGAAAGCTGATTCACAATTTTACAGAGAAACATAAGCATCTAACATCCCTACCGGTAAACTATCAAAGAGTCCATTTTCCTTTAAGACATCATGCTCTTTAGTAAGAGAACACTGCCGACTTGGAAAACTCTTGGGTGTTTTTGGGGAGAGATGTAAAGCACTCATTAATCTTTCAAGGGAATCTCCATGAACCTGGGTTCCATGCAAACAGACAGCATCAAGTTCAGTGTAGTAATTGAGGTGCTGTTGATTAAATTCCAAGCGTATCAAACTGAAACATATTAGAGACAACATTATCACAACTGTAAGGCAAGGTAAGCCACTGTTAATGATCTACTTCACTAGATGGTGTAGTGGACCCAAACTACATGTAAATTTATACATTGCGGTTACAGAGTTACAACAACTGCTGCTACCACATTAAACATATGTCAATTTCTGTTAAATCAATAATTAATAAAACAAAACCTATCCATCCTACTCACTGATATCAGAGATGTCAACTAATTACCTCACACTCAGGCTCAAGTGCTGTCAAGCGAGTCTAATATCAACTACTAACTGTAGATAACCATGGACATATTATGTTGTTATATTCCTAGACTTTCAATCAACTAAACAGGGACTGACATTGGTTGATTCTAGGTCACGTGGCCTTGACTAAAATCAAATGTATCCCGATCGTGATACATTAAGCAATGTACCCCGCTCAGGCTACATTACAGCACATGATCAAAGCATGGTTGAAAGTGGCATGACAGAGGGTGGGAAAAACACTCCCAGTTTTCTTTTCAGTGAATGAACACAACAACATAAACACAAAGCCTCAAGCTAAAAAGCAACGATTTTTAAAGTCATCCCAGAAGAGAAACAGCGGCTAGTGGAGGAAAAAATGCAGATAATATAAGGAAAGTACTTGTAAATCATTCATTCAGTGTTTTTGAGAATTAAATTTGTGTTGTCATAAGTACCAAGTCGACTGTTTTGGTTTGCTCTGGTTATTCTTTTGTTGCTCTTGATGTGAAAGTCTTAATATAACAAAACACTTTATGTCGGGTCCGAAGGAAAACCAGTTAATTTTGTTTTCCCTCAAGTCCTGATGTTTCAGGAAAACAAAACTAAGTGTTTCCTTCGGGATCTGACATAGTTTTTTAACTGTATGTTACTTTTACAAAGGTGAATGGGTCTGTCTTCATCAGACACCAACATCCCAGCCTACAGGGACGTAGGAAATATGGTCTCCTTCTGTACACAACCACTTGTTGACACATGGCAGCTGAACTGTGGGCATTATTAACTATCATGACACCTCTAAGGACCAGCTCCGTTAATCTAATGAAGACTATGAGATACGGGTTAATTTAGCTAAAAAAAAGGAGTTAAGGACCTGATTAAATAAGGATTATTAAAGATATTGAAGCGGAAGCAGCCAATATAACATTTTCTGCTTTATTTTGCTCCACTTACTTGGTTGGATAGTTTGCTTTCTTCAAGGGTGGTGAAAATTTTCTTGCCTTTGGTGGACACTGTTGAGGTTTACCAGCCCAAAGAGTTACCCATCTGCAATTACAAAAAAAGAAACTGTATAACAGACAGGCATGAAAACCAATAATATTTTATCTGCATTTTTTAGAATAACTGATCAAGACACCCTCAATTGTTCTACAAATGTATCAAAACTGCGTGACTCAAGATAAAAATGCTGTGATATGATTTTTGATGAAACAAGGTTGACATAAAGATAAAAATTACTCTATTTTAATATTAAATTAACTAAGGAGAATGTGCTGCCTTTGTTTCGAACTAGTCTTCTAAGATAAGCATGAAAAACCATAGGCCCTGTCTCACAGCTCTTCCACTATTCTTATGGGACAAACAAAACCACACTGCTGTTCGAAAAGACTACGGGACATAAACTCTGGTAGTGTAATCAACCTCACAAAGGTGCTTGTCTGTGTGTTTAGAGTGTACATGTGTATTACCGTAGCAGGTCCATGTCAAATTTAAAGCTAACTTGCATGACCTTTAAGGGGTACACGGAAGAAAGGCAGGCAAACCTTCTTTGAACCACAACATAACATTAATTCACTGGTACAAAACAAAGAAGATCATTGGAATATCAACCAGATAGCATTAATGTTACCTGCAATATACCAACCTTTGTCTGTTATGATATGTTTTGTCTTTCAGCAGGGCTAAAATGCGCACCACTGCACCAGGGTTGTAAGTTTCATATATTTCAATCTTTGTGGGAAACACGTAGTGTTTAAATTGAATATCTAAGAACAAAATTCAAGTCAAAATTGAATTTATCTTGTTTTTCAATTTTATTATTTTTATAACTAAGTAGGTAATACCAGAAGCGCAATGTTTTTTCAATGGGAAAAGATTTGACTTTGAAGATTTCAGTTGATAAAACATTGTACTTCTGGTGTTCTGACTCTAGTCCTTCTATTGAGCACTCTGACAGCAGGTCTGCATCAGCTGAAATCAAGGACATAAGTAGTACAATGTACTCTGTGAAAATTAAATCTCTGGTGAAAGAATGAGTTTTGAGCTTTGTGTACAAATGCAGACCAGGATAAACAGTGTAATTTTGCCATCTTTCTAAGATTCTTTGTTTTCTCTGTAACTAATATGTTACTCACTTTGTTTCATCAGTGGTAAAATGTAAATGTCTTTGCTCATATAATGTAACAATTCTGAGTAATATCAGGTAAGCCATATACATAAATCTGACTTTAAGTAGTTTGGGAGTCGGTTAGTTTTCTTCCTTACCAACAAAATCTTCACTGATAAAATTATTCTTCCTGCTGGTATTGCTAACAGGTGCTATAGCCGATGGGACTTTGTGCCACCAAGGACCATACGATCTCTGAAAAATTTTGAATGGATGTTGGGATTAGAATAAAATACCAGTAGTTCAATCTACAGCTGTACTATCAGTCACTCCTTAATCCCCCGAAAATAAGAAAAATCAAACTCTACAAAATAAGAAAAAATTAAGAGCAGTTCAATGGGCCCTTATCAAGTGGACCCCTCAGAAAATGCTCTGGATTTTGCTTTACACAGGTTGTCCACTTAAGGCAACTTTCAATATATAAGAGAGAAAACATGACGTTTGACTAAAGAACTAAAAACAAACCTGGTCATAATCTGGCTTCAAGGCTGTGTGATTAAATGGCTACAATGCTATACAGAAATGGGGTAAAAGTGACTACAAAACTATATGGCCAGCCAAAAGATCCACCAAAAACAAACAGCTTAGACTCAATGCACAGTATTAGGAGCATACATATAATGACTCTTGGTTACTATTAAATAAGGCACAAAAGAAAAAATATAGAACCAAAAGAACCTCCTCTCAGCTAGCCTCCCACGACAATGGGGCAGGAATGTGTGATGAACCCCTAAGAACCTCTGTGTTGGAGGCTACCTCTCTGCCAGTAAGTGCATATACATGGCAACTTGTGACAGTAGTGACAGTAGTAGAATGGTAGAATTGGTCATAAAACCTCAGTATGTACGGTAGATGACAAGTTGAAAGTCAACAGAAGGCCACAACTTCACTTTAAAACTAAAACTTTATGTACTTACAGGCTCTCAACTTTTTTATAACCATCCCAGACTGGAAAAAAGCTTCGCCCTTTGATAACAAGTAACGTGTGTCCCACTCGTGGGACAAAAAAACAGCCAGCTGGAGAGACTAAGACGCAGTTGGGCTAGAAAAGCAACACGATTACATCATTTAAAAAGCTTATTTCCGTTTTCTCAAGATGCCACTGCGTAGCTTGCACTCTAGCGAGGTGTTTTTGTACGGTTGTTAAGGTGGCTGAACACAGTTTTGCGCGCGGTCAGTGGTAACTCGCGTGGCGGCGCGTGTTTTAAATTAGACAAGCAAACATGGCGGCGAAAAAAGCAGTGGTACAGAGAGGACGATTTCTCAAAATCTACGCATTAAAATTTTGTGATATTTGGCAGAATTTTTCCTTTTATCGTATTTTAAATAATGAGAACTTTAAAATGGAAGTTGAACAGACGAATTTTGTGACACATTTAATAAGTACAGTACAATTGTATTATTGATTATCTAAAAACTTGTCTGTTAAGATTTGGTCAAATAAGTTTCAAATGGTAATGATTAACAATAGTAAGCTGTGTACAAGTTTATAGGAAAATCTAATGAGCGAACTTTATGTAAACTGAGCAAAAGTGAAATTTTAAGGTTGTATTCAATCGTTCATGTTGCCATGGAAACTACGAAAACGTCACATTTTACATGTCAATCAAAACCTTTCATCAATGTACTTTTCACTTGCCAAGTTTCAGCTTGTAAGCTGCAACCTTTCTCTGGCCATGATTTGGCAAATAATATATACTCACAAACTGCCAAAACTGTGTTTAGCCACCTTAAGCTGCAATCTGAGATATAAGCTTAAAAGCTTACCCACCAGGACAAACGCTTGAGTGAAATCACCGTAACTTGGGTAATTGTACTTGTCTCCAACTAGATTCGATGCTGCATAACTTTGCGAAGCTCCGTACTGACTCGAAAAGCAAAGAACATTATTTACTACTTGCTTTTTCAGCGCTTCTTGTTTAAAATTTCCCATCACAGGTGAAAACACCCCCGCCATTGACTCCACTAGGCGAGGCGAGGTTCCTTCAAATAAAGACCTGGTTACCTAGTGGTCTGGTCCAGTATTCAGCGTTTTCCGGTCGTAGGATATTTACGCATAGGAGACACCGACTTTGGCTTGAATTCATAGTTTGTATTCTTTTGATAAACAGCCCTGTTAGGTTACACCCTAATAGCGATAATAGGAGTATATTTTGGAGGATGCCTACTTCCTGAGGAATTTTGCAGTGGGGTAAGATTTTCTTCCCATTCAGAACTGAAATCATTCAGCAAACAATCTTGATTATCTACGTTCCTACGTGGCATTTAAAAACCGGTACTGTTTAAACAATTCTATAAATCGCTCATCAGCATGTCCTCGAAAAGGATTTTCAACATCATAGTGATCACTTCAACATTTTGGTTTTCTGTAACTATACTAGTTTTGATGTTCAATAGTGAAGTTACGCGGGAATCCTTAACAATGTTGAACGCTCCGATCGTTTTGGATAAAAGCGACCATCATTACATGACTGGTGCAGGAGTGCAACCTTTACGGCCCGTTGAAAAGCACATTAAATATCCATGGGAAAAAGATACTTCTGAAAAGCCTTCAACAAGGGACGGTATTTTGTCTAATGCTGCTAAGGTTTTGGGCGGTGTGATTTCATCGAACTCTGAGGGTTCTAGAACAAGGACAGTTTACGATGCAAGTTTAGCTAAACGCACCAACCCAGGCGGTTTAGGAGAAAATGGACAACCAGCCTTTTTGACCGAGGAAAAAGATAAAAAGCTTTCTGAAGAGCGTTTCGGAGATCACTCTTTCAACTGGGTCCTTAGTGATAAGATATCATTGGACAGGACTTTGCAAGATATGCGGAGTGATGGGTGAGTGTTCTGGCTAAATTATCTACCTGTAGTTATTTAAATTTTTAATGCTCTTGAAAATAATGGCTGGTGAAAGTCATCTTGATGATTTTCTGTTTTCTTAACAGAAAATTGTTAGCATCACTGGATCAGTGGCACATTGCATTAAATCAGATATTTCCATCCACCTACAGTAATCTCTTTTTGTATTAATCCTCTTGTTAATAGCGTTTTAGTGGAGACTAGACACTTAACTGATAAAATGAAGAGCTATTCATGTAATTTTTTTCTTTCCACTGTTGTGTAGGATTTGCCATCTACAGTTCTTCTAAAATTCCATACATGTTGATGCTTTTGATTCTTTGTAGAAAATAAAACCACCTTGTTAATTATTTATTTTAGTAAAATCCAGCTAGTGGTCTATCATCAATGCTGCATTCTGATTGGTTGAGCTACTACTAGGCTATATGTTATAGCCCCCTAGTAGCAAAAAGTGTGGGCTTTTTGGCGGCAAAAAAGGATTAAAGTCTAGCTTTAACTAGCTAAAAGTTTTTTACTCTCGATATTTTTGACCAACTAGTTGGATTTTACTAAAACAATAATTATTCCTCTCGCCCTCATGGCCTCTGAGTCAATAGTTATTATTATTATTATTGTTGTTATCATTATTATTATCATTGTTCATGTAGCTGGTGGCTTTGGTTCTTCTCATGCTGACTTATATCCTAAGGGAGCAAGTGAGAACAAATGACCAAGGGTCCTATGGGAAATAATAAATATCAATGATATTATTAATACTATCATTATAATTAGAGATTTTTGGATGTAGAATTATAAAGTAGCTTTTATCCAAGCACTCTGTATTGTTGTCCATAAATCAGACCACATTACACAGTAAAACAGAAGAGGTTTAAGCAGCTGTTTGGCATATGGAAATGAACCTGCTAGTGTTGTTGTTTTTTTTTTCAGTTAAACTTTAGATTGAGCATAATAAAGAATTTAAACAATACTCAATCTGTTTTACAGTTGTAAAGCCAAATTTAACAGTTACCCAGCCAAGCTTCCAACTACTACTGTCATAATCTGCTTTCATAAAGAGCGGCTGTCTGTCCTCCTGCGCACTGTTCATAGTGTTATTAACAGGACACCTCCTGACCTGTTAAGTGGAGTTATTATTGTGGATGACTTCAGTGAAGATGGTAAGTAAAACAAAATAATAATTTAGAATTAAAAAGGAAAACTCATTTACTGTCACAAACAATAAATATTTCTTTAGAGTATTATTTTCATACAGTTTTCTGAAATGCCATTGATCTTTAGATTGGACTACAATCTGCATCGCAGATAAACACTTGTCACCACAATGAACTATTTAATCTGTAACATCTCTTATTGTTCTGGTTAGCAACAGAATGGAGTGACTATTTTAACAAAAGAACAGGGTCAAAGTTCCAAATTCATAATCATATTCAACATCATACTTACAGTCAAATCTTTTAGGTTGCTATGAACAGGTGTTTTATTGTCAGGGGTAATTACTTTTTGCATTAGGGTTTTTTGCCTGAGTTAATGTTTTTTTGTTTTGCAGCACTTACCTACCACTTACGGTAAAATCCATTTTCGCTTTTTAATTTCAAGCTTACAGTTGTCATGGTCTGCTAGCAAAACTATAAAAATTAGTAACAGTAAATGATTAAATACTTTGAGGCTGCATTTTTGATGTATGTTAAAGCACCGCTAATTCATTATTACTATTTGAAGCTATGGTACTTCACCAGATTAAGAAGCAAGCTTTAATGCTACATACGTAGCCATGAAAATGAATGACTTCTCACTATCATTCTCACTATCAATAATCAGGTGAATTGTTGATCTTTTCCTATAGAAAGACTTGGCAAACCTTTAGACGATCATGTGGCCACCATGAGTAAAGTGACAGTAATAAGGAACACTAAGCGCGAGGGGCTTGTACGTGCACGCCTAAAGGGAGCCAGAGCTGCTAAGGGTGATGTCCTTACATTCCTGGACTCTCACTGTGAGGCAACACCAGGTTGGGTGGAGCCTTTGTTGGCACGTATAGCTGAATCACGCTCCAATGTCGTGTGTCCAGCAATTGAAGTGCTGAATGCTGATACATTTGCGTACCAGGGATCTGCTAATGCTGATCAACGAGGAGGATTTGGATGGGATCTGTTCTTCAAGTGGAAGGGAATTCCCCCAGAGGAGCAGAAGCTCAGAAAGGATCATACTGATCCCATCAGGTTGGACCTTGTTTTGGAGTCAGAATCTTCTTTTCTTTTTTTTTCAGTCAGTGGCCACTAGGTTGTGTGGGCTACCATACCATAGTCTTGGAGAATAAAAATCCATCTTGCCCATTCATCTTTTTGTTGTTGGTCAGTAATACAGTTAATGGTTAGAACAAAAAGCCACATGAATAACCGCAGCGATAGTGGCATAGAGCACATTCCCTAATTTCTCTCATAGGAACTTTCTCTATGTAGCTTTAATGTTTGTTAAAACAATGTTTTATTATTTGATGAGATCGTCAAACCCTCTAATATGTCACTTTTTAGGTAAAATCCAACTAGTGGTCTATTATCAATGCTGCATTCTGATTGGCTGAGCTACTACTGGGCTATACATTATAGCCCACTAGTAGCGAAAAGCGCCGCCTTTGAAAACCAAAACAGTGGTGGCTGAATCGGGTTTTGCTAGCTGAAGTTGTTTTGTGTCAATATTTTTGACCAACTTGTTGGATTTTACTAAAACATGGGCTGTTGACTCAGAGCCCATTCAGGCTCGAGGAATAAATGCCAAGTATTTGTTAATTGCAGGACGCCTACCATGGCTGGAGGATTATTTTCAATTCATAAACAGTATTTCTTTGACACTGGCTCCTACGATGAGGAGATGGATATTTGGGGTGGAGAAAATCTTGAGCTTTCCTTTAGGGTAAGGTGCTGTTATGATCACACTAGTTTGTTTCTTGTTGTAAGCGTTCAAATCAAAATATAGGGATAGAGCATGCAAACCACCGCAAGTCACTTGTCTTAAATCTATGCAAGTTAAGACTAGAAGTAACCAGGGTTTACTAACAACATAAAACCTTAATTTTGTAAATATCTAATAGCCCACGTTAGATATATTAAAATTCTAACATGACTTTGAGGCTTTAGGGTCAAAATTGCAAATTATTCACGACTCCATTGTCTTGCAATTCCCAGAAGAGAATTGAGCACAAAGATAACCAAACCAAATATAGAAAAATGATCTTAAAGACTCGGAGTCACGTTAGAATTTATATATATCGAACGTGGGCTATTTAGAGCGCTCTTAGATCTGCGTTTGTTTTGAAGAGTGTCTTGCAGGCATGCCCGCGGACCACCGAAGCTGTCCCGAAGATGATGATTTGTTCATTATTGCGTATCGTGTTTAGGTCTGGATGTGCGGTGGGCGCCTGGAAATCGTACCATGCTCGCGTGTTGGTCACGTGTTCCGAAAGTACACCAGTCCTTATAAGTTCCCGGATGGAGTAGAGAAAACGTTGAACAAGAACTTTAATCGTTTAGCGGAAGTATGGATGGATGAATACAAGGAGCTGTACTATAACAAGAAACCTCAGGCACGAAACATGGATTATGGGGACATCAGCGAACGAGTGGCACTCAGGAAAAAACTGGGCTGCAAAAGCTTCAAGTGGTACATAGAAAACGTGTATCCTGATGTTCAGATGCCCGAGCTGAACCCACCCGCAAGTGGAGAGGTAAAATTACTTACAGACTATCCCTGGGGGAGGGGGGGCTACTTTACAAAGCTTCACCCGGGGAGGCTCCGCCCTAAGATCCAAGCCCTTTCCCTTTTATAAACCATTTTTGGTAGAAAAGGTACCTCTTTCGTATACCTTCTACTGACAAAATTAATGGTTCTACCCCTTTCACATTCCAAGTTTAGAAAACTGCATGGCGGACTACGCGTTTTGTTTCTTCCCCCAACAGACCCCCCGACCTGGAAAGTCGTAGCATGCCACGTTTTTTGTTAGATAAGTTTTTTGTTTTCTCCAGAGACATTCAGCTGCTGTTTGTCTTTTGTGCTTGTTTATTGAATCATTAAAATGTTAGCTACGTTGTATTAGGACGTCCGTGAGTTCTTTCCAGGACGAATAGAAGCAATGTTTTGAAACAAAGACGCCTAAATTGCATCACTGTCAGATCATAGCGCAAGTTCCAGTCATTGCAAAAAGCAACTGAGCTAAAATTAGGTCAGAAAAAAAAATTGAGATAATTACGTGCTTTTTTAACTAGCCATGGGTTTGTAACAAGTTTGGCAGAAGTAGCACGTGGTTATTAGCATTTCCTTGAATGGTCCATATACTTGTAGGTGACTCATTTTCTCTCTTTCATATGTGCTCGCAGGTTCGTAATCCTGCCAGCGGTTACTGTCTGGATTCCCTTGGTGCCAAACCTGAACATTCAGCTCGTATGGGAGTTTATATCTGCCACGGACAAGGTGGAAATCAGGTGGGTATTGATAAACCAATCATAGAGTTTGATGTCACACATGTGACAGAGCTGCACGTTCAGTTTCGCATGCTTTCGCTGATGTAATTTGCTGTTAGAAAGCGGCGAGAACAACGACGACGTCATAGCACAGAGTTTTGTAAATAAATTAGTGCATATGATTGTCTGTTCGACTGTCTTTCCTTCTTTTACTATGCAAACTGGAGCGCCGTACTTAAACCTTTTTCGTACTTTGATTACTTGAAAAAAAGGTCTTTTTGGAGGAGCGAATGGTAGTGAGTCTGTCATCTTTCTTGGTATGCTGGTATTAAAGGTCGCTGTTGAGTGAACTAGTAATAGGCCACACGTCACCTTTGAAAGATCGTATAATTACTTTTGCGACTGAGCCAGCGTAAAATGTAAATAATAACGCTGGATTGTGCATTTATTAAAGATGCTGATACTGTCGTCAAAAGGCGAGATAATATTCGAAGAGGAAAACTGTTTGGATGTGTCAAAGTCGTATGCAGGTGCACCAGTAGAAATACTCAAATGTCATGGAATGGGAGGAAATCAAAAGTGGGAACACAGCAAAGCATCGGTAAGTCAGTTGTACAGCAGTTTGTAGGTGTAGCGGAATATTCCTTAAAACCCCAGCTTTAAGGAATAACAGTTTTTTCAAATATTTTTCCGCTTCTGGTGCTGTTACAGCAGCGACTATTTCTCAGATTATAGGTTGTACGTCTGAAACTATCGCACGTATTCCAACCCCTCTCTATATATGCCGTGTTGCCCATAACTGATCACTACTTTGCGAAGACTGATTATTAATGTCAGGGACAAAGACAGAACGGAAGAAAGACAGGGAGCAGTATACAAGATCAAATGCTGTGACTGCCAGGCCACTTACAATGGTGAAACCGGCAGAAACTTAAGCATGTGACTGACGGATAACACACGAGCAACAAGAAATGATGATGTCATCAATACCATTTACAGTCAGACAAGGCATCGCATCGATAGGGGGGTCGGCTCTGCTGAATGTATTACGTATTCTACAAGCTTTTCCCGACGACTTACTGTAATGTCTAACATGACTGGTTCTTGCATTTATAGGGTATCATCAAACATTCAAGCACAGGTCAGTGTTTAGACCGAGGACAAGCTGGTGGACAGTACGCTGTGATGAACCCTTGCGATGGTCGAGATTCCCAAAAATGGCTGTTTTCTAAGTACAAGGACTCATGAAAAATGTCTTATGACACCTGTCAGAGACACATCCCTTTAGTCATAAATTAAAAATTGATGTAAGCAACGACAGTCAGTTGGCATCCGCCATATAACCGAATTATCATGAAATAATCCGATTGTTGACTTTTTCAATACACAGGACACTTTATGTCCGCTTATTTAAGGTTTGGATGTATGCCACTAAGTCTACCGAGCCACAGCCAATTCTCACGCAAACATTTTTATGATAACTGTTCTTAACCCACGCGCTGTCTCTTTTGTATTGTAATTTAGAGAACGAGTGGCTATGGTCCACTTTAAAACGTTCCATGAAACGTGACTGTCGCGAGAGCGCCGGCGTGAATTAAAATAACGTGTGAAAGTCCGCGATACAGGCAGCCATTCCTTGCAAATTGGCTTTTTTACTTTTCGCTATGTTATAGAGAAGAACTGAAAAGCTATGCTGGTAGTTTTGTATACCATAGTTTTTATACTTGAAATTTGCAACCGAGATATTCATGTTAGTTTGTAGACACTGATTTACAACGAGAAGTCTAGACCGTTTATTAGAAGTTTTGAAATCCCAGGAAAAAATTCCCATTTGTTATGACCGAAGTGTTTACCGGTTTCTTCGAATGTCACATCGCCCAACTCAGCTAGAAACGCCTTTTTCGTGTAATATGGTATGTTATTTTTAGAAAATGTTCAAAAAATATATGATGCGATTGTATAATTACAAAAAATTACAATTCAGTTTTATAATTTCATTATTATAACTGCTTCTAATGAATCTAGAAATTTTAGAATTAACCATGTCATCAAATTGTCCATATTAATGATGAAGAATATTAAAGATTTTTTTAGTAGAATAAAAACGGTCGGTCGCTTTTAACATCCTGTCCAACTTCTTTTCTAACAGTGCCCCTCTTGATTCACGGGATAGCTGCGTCGCTGCGTAGGCTGACGTGCGCTATCTCATCATCATTCATTTGTTTGCGTGGAACAAAAGCCAAGATGATAGTATGGAAGGTGGAAAGGCGACACGCATCAACACTATTAATGGTCTTTTGAATACAGTTAATCCCACGCATAAGAAAGTTTATATTGCAAAAAGCATCTGTTTGTTTTAAAATTTAAAAAAAGCAAATTCTTGGCACATTGGTCTGAGCACTGTTTACATACTCCCTCGCTTCGGAGAAATTATTGGAAGCCACAGAGGTATAAAATTGCAAGTTCTCTTCGAACTGTAAAAATGATAGGTTAAAAAAATTATTTTATGATATTATACACGGTTTAAAAGAAAACGCCCTAAAGCTAATTGAGTAATTACGCAAGTACAAATCTGCAAAAGATGTAACTTTTGTATTGTGTAATACACTGTTTAAATATTGTTCATCTGCCAGGTGTGATTTTTTTATTATAAGAGTTTATATTCTGTGATTGTTAAGACTCTTCACCGCTGACCTCAGAAGCTAAATCAGTTAGATTGCCTCCAAACTAACCAAACCTGGCAACTTTACTGTCTTTAGTCAAAGCCATCACTTTTCTCTTCAAGTTCTTTTGAAGCTATTTTGTTCAAATACGAGAAATTTTCCCGTAGCCAAGGATCAGAAGTTTGTTTTAGTATGTCAACAAGCGGACACGAGAAACTTCTATCCCTTTCAGAAGCATTGCTTATCTTGCTGCAATCACTTTTAGAGCGACAAAGTCTTCTTTTGAGCTCTTTGTGTTCTTGAAACGCAGTCATAACCGATGTACTTTTCCGTCTTCTTTTCCCGCTGTCTCGTAAATTCATTGAAACAGTTTCGCTATTCGAAAAATTCTTTGAATCCCGCGGCATATTTTCCTTGACAGGAGACAAATATTCGGATGCAATGTCATCACTGCTGTTTAGGAACATTCTTTCTTCACTTCCTCCGAATTCCTTACTGTTCTCGCTGTTTTCTTCTGTATGAACAAATCCTCCATTTTGGTGAACTTCAATCCCGTCGATTTTCACGGCATCCACGGGCACTATCTTCACAGGGCGACAACTTTCCTCGCCTTCAGTGTACAAACTATCTTGAAGTCTGTTATCACTGTCTTCCCAGTCTTCTGACCATGTACCTTTTCGTTGTGTTCTTTTTCCCGTGCAATTATTTACGAAAGTCCCATTTTCACTTCCCTGTATATGACTTTCTCTTTGCGTTTGGCCGCGACGCTTTAAAGTAGATCTCACTTCACTTTTTAAGCTCTTGCGTCCACGAAGCACTGCCAAAGAGTCACTATCCCGTGACTCGATTCTCTGGAAACAACAAGGCAATATTATTCCAAAAATCTGCCGATACCCCTGGCGAAATTCTTTTGTTCTCAGAGCATAGATAACCGGGTTCATTGCGGAATTTAAAAAACCAAGCCAGTAAGCTGCAACAGAGAAGTATTTAGGCAGCTCATTACCTGCAAGTGTTGCGTACAAAGTAAGGACAGAAAATGGAGTCCAACAAGCTAGGAAAACTGCTAGAATTATGAAAAGCGTGATGGTAATACGCCTTTCGTTTAGGAAAGCCGATTGTTCCTCGCTGCCAAATGAATGACTGCGGACACGTTTGGTGTGAATCTTAACAGTCTGAAAAATCTTTAAATAAGAGAAGCTCATTATTCCTAGCGGGATCACAAAGCCGCAAACGATGATAAATAGACAGTTTGTTAACTCGCTTAGTTTATTATTACGAGGCACTTTGACAGAACATTGCGTTCTCCCTGGGATATATTCGTAACTGTTCCATCCCAGAATGGGCGTAAGAGCGGTAACAAAGGCTTGAAGCCAAACCCAGACCACCACACAAATAGTCCTCTTTCTTGTGAAGATCTTTTTCTTTGTTGGTTGTACTACCCCTATATACTTGTGTATACTTATCGCTGTCAGCGTTAGTATAGAGGTCAGGAGGAAGAACACGTTTAAGAACCCGTTTAGCTGGCACAGCGAGTTACTGAAAATCCATTTCTGCGTCACGGCTGTTATAATGGAAAAAGGCATGCACAAAAGCGCCACAAAAATATCCGTGAGGCTTAAATTGATGATAAAAATGTGTGTTTCCGATCGACGCAGCTCCCGTCGGCGGTAAACGACTGCAACAACAAGGAAATTTCCACCAACTGCAAGAATCATGATGCAAAATAAAATCACTGCTTCCAGGATTCCTATCCATTTTGGATCCATTTCTACAGATTGTGAATTGTTGCTCGCGGACTCATTAAAGTTAGTCTGATCCATTTTCACTCCTGAGGCGTGGGTACTTGCATTTTAACCATTTATTCACCTCGTTGTTTTGAAGCCCAACTCAATTTGCGTCACTTACCAACCCAGAGCTAAATTTGACACATTGCACTAAATTGGCACGCCGCGAATTTGTTTGCATGACAACAGGGAAGTTTAAAAATGCAAACCAACCTCTGCTTTGTTTGATGTCGGAGTAAACTGGAGAACTTTCAAGTGACATGACCTGTCCACTACCTTAGATTAACATCCCTCCATACGTCTCTTTTAAGTAAACACTCAGTAATATGAAATTCTTGTCTTTTGAAAAAGATCATACGTCTTATACCAATCGCACAGGGAACATGCTTAAGTTTGGATTAAAAATTCGATTTTTTTTTAACTGTATGTTCAATGTACAACCAAAGAAGTGGAACTGATTATTACTATTTTCCGAAATCAATTAGGAAAGCAAGGCTTAATCCCGCCAAGAGAGGTAAATGATTATTTCGTGGAGATCACATCCGTTCAATTTTTAATTTGTCGTTTCTAATAAGTAACTGATTTGCATCTGACTTCATTATTTCGAGGAAACTAAGCTGATCTAATCAAGAATTTATAGCTTTAAAGAATATTTATGTATTGAGAGAAAATAGCAGTAGGATTGTGCTCTTTTCGGTTAGTTTACGGTCAAAGAAAACCGCTTTCCAAACGAATATACCTGCAAGCCAATTAGCCTTTAAATATTTCGGCTTTGTTTTTCATTTCCCCAATTTATTGTTTCGCTACACGCAATAGAACATATTATCTTTGCCCATCTTCTTATTCACAAGATTATTCAATCGGCCTACAATGATTACTTTGCAACATGTTTTTATATTACATTGTCTCCATTCTAACCCCCAGGTTCAGACCAATGGCAGATAATTAATTGTTTCGCGTAAAATTTAAAGCAACGATTATATACATAACATTTGCAAACTTCAAAGACCTTAGTCTTCAAAAAACAGTCTATATATTTACGTAAAGTTACGGAAAAAAAACTGCTGATTAATACGCCAGCCTTACATGTAATAATTGTTTTTATTATTATTATTATTTGTTTTTTGCTTTTTTCAGGTTTTGGTTTATTTTTTGTTCTAAAGAAAGCCGCTATTTTATTGGTGATTCTAGAAGAAGAGGAACAAAAAATGTAGCTTAATAAGGGATATTATATCTTCAAATGCCATGGACAGGAGAAAAATTCTTTTGGGGCTGAAAAAAAGTATTTAATGAGAGATGATTTGTTTCCAAAAAACGATTTCGGTACTGTTGAACAAAAAGAACTTAACATTTATTCATGGACGTCGAGAAATGTTGTGATTAAGTTCTATCTTTTCTGCTTCCTGTTCAACTTTGTAGTAAAGCTAAACCGTGGATAAGTTCTACGATATTGCTTAACCAAAACAAATACCAACTTTTAAAACTAATGTTTGAGTCAACTGAGCGGCGTAAAAACTTGTATGGAGGAGAGATCCCAACTTTTTTTGGCTTGAAAACTGCAATGCAGAATCCTGGGTAATAAAATTCTGCCGAAGATGGCCCCAAAATGCGTGATCATTCAGAACACAGTTTTTTCAGAAAACTATTTTTTTGTTGTTTTGAGAGATTCTTCAATATTATGTTTCGGCTTGTTATATCAAGTACTATATTTGCCCACGACTGTATTTATAGTTGTCCACTCTACCATCGCCGGTGTAGCTGCACGTTAATTGTCTTAATTTAACTATCCGTCGTCAACACAGATCGACTTAAATGAGTTAGAGTACTGCGAAGTATGCCAAAGGAAAGATGATTTTAAAAAGAACGAAAAGTTCAAAATGAAATTGTGTCCTGAAATTTAAGAGAAGGCTTGATACAAGTCTATTTTTACATTTTTTTGAAGAAAGTGGTGTATTTTTTCAGTGACAGGTGAAGTAATACAAAGTGGTATACAACGTAGGTCGCACATGACAGTTACAAATTATTTTAGTTTTCCCCTTCTTTAAAGAGTGTTCCTTTTCAAACCTGCGTAAAAAAAGTCACCAGGCAACCTCATACATGCAAAATGACCATGCTGCTCACTGAGGGATACAATAAACTATTTGCAAACTGAACATTTCTCAGGTTTATTTTTCGTATTTCAAATAGTTATTTTTTTTAATGTTGTCTAATAATGATAATAATGAGGAGGAGGATGAGGGGGTGGAGGAGTAGGAGAAGGAGAAGGAGAACTGATACTCTATACAGACAATGAAAAGGTATTTCCCGCTGCTTGCCCATGATAGAGGGCCCACTGTTCGCAAAGTCCTATTTCGGGGCTCCAGCTTACACTTTGCGATATGATAAACAAACTCACAGGTGATCAATAAAAAATCAGCAGTTGTTGAGAATAATCGATTAATAGTCACATTTGGCTACACACGACTTTTCGTTCTCTCAAACTTGGTAAATGATTAAGAAGAGGAGAAGGCTCTCGAAAGAAGAACACGGTTCTCACGGATTACAGATTAATAGCTTCGGAGAGCTCTTTAAATTTCAGGTAAAATATTAAAACAAGAGCCGATTAATCGGCTCCTCATTAAAACGAATCCTTACGAATTGAACAGCAAGCAAACCAAGCAAACAGGTCATCTGCTACAAGACGAAGTCTCCATCAGTTTATAATAGTGTCTTTATTTTTTGCGGGTTGACACCGGTGCAAGATTTCTGTACAATGATTTATCGCAGCAATCTGCTCGATGTGTTTGCCTGATGCTTCTACTACAATTTGAAGAGACGTCTATTTAACGCATTATAAAACCATCCTACAGTAAAATAAGCGTTATAAAACGTTAACATGAATATTTTGTGTCCTTTCTTTCTCGGGATAAGCGCTGAACCTCCACTTCTGTGTATGACGCCCGTCACATTTTCTTACAACCAAGTTGGAGCCTTCACTGACATCTAAACAAACATCATGAAGCGTATGGCGGATCCTACCATCCTGTAAAAAGAACGAACGAGGGGTCAAGGGCGTGTCCCTTGGACTTAAATGGGGTGGGAGGAAATGGGATACCACTTCTACACTTCTTACACAGTTTGTCTCCCAAGAGGATATTTTGTCGAAATTTGCCTTCCTTTCTCGGGCAGTAGTTCGTTTTCAGTGGGAGAAAATTACCATGTTGTCCGGAAGGGAATAACTTTATCATTTTTTTGCTTAATATACGGTAAAACCAGTGCTTTTCTTAAAGCAACCTGATACTCAGTGCGATATAAAACATGATACTTTTGTGGAGGAGGTAAAAAAAGTCGCTTAATTCTTCTTTTTTAATGTATTGAATTCAGAAGAATTTCCTAAAAATCCAGTCCTAAGCCACCATACAGGTTGAGAAGACAAGACACCGCGCAAGCGCCAGGTAAGAATACTTCCTCGCTTCCAGGCTTCTCTCCTACCCTTCCCTGTGGAAAGAGAGAGGGATGGGAAGAGAGAACCCCGGGATCGAGGTTGTTTCTTCCTTTGCCCACCTTGATAACAAGTCAAGGCAACAAGTAAAGGAGGAGGCAGAGGAAATGGAACCTGGAAACGACGGGGCAGCATTTAAGGCAGGATGATTACATGAATCTTTGCCATGCCTTTTTCAAAGTTTGCAGCCATTTACAAAAAGTTGCAATAAAAAATCAGATCAACCACGAAATATTACTTTCCACTATCAAATAGGAAGTGACAGAAGTTAAAAGTGCTCTGTAGAAATGCGACAAAAATACCAAATTAAATTAGAAACTGACCGGCTTACTCTTATACGAGTACTTCTAATGAAGTTACAATTAAAACCAAATATCATCCGTTCTATGATAGTTTTATAATATTTAGCAGCTTGCCTTTTCGTGTTCCCACTTCTGGTTTCCTCCAAGACCATGACAAGTGTATAATTTCACCTTAGTGTTTGGGTTGCCGTCGACAAGATCCAAACAAACCTCGTCATGCCAGAACTCGTAATTCTTCGTAAACATGAAAAACTACATAAAAAAGTACATATAGTTCCCATCATCTTCATTCAATGTTGACTTTTTTTCACAGGTTACGATAAAATCAACAAATTGCCCTGCCACCACTATCATGGACCTCCAAACAGCTCAGTCGGTAGAGCACTGCAGCGCTAACGCAGAGGCCATGGGTTCAAATCACGTTAAAGCCCTAAATTTTTCTGGGCTTGATTTGCCATCGCTTGAACAGGACAATCACGTGACTTTTGTCGGGCATAGAGTACATTTGTGGCCCGAGTAGCATCATTTGCGCCCGATCGAGCGGAGCGAGGGTGCAAATGATGCTAGCAGGGACACAAATATACCATGTATATGTCCAACAAAAGACATCTGATTATCATTATTATCAATACATAAGGCCAACGGAAACAAATTTATTTCATGAGGAAAGATTGTTTAACATGAAATCCTCTTGCGGGCTGCAAATTCCATTTACAGCCCGCACTTTGCCATTTGGCCTGCGAAAAAGGAGCGTTTTAGAGACGACCAGTTTGTCATTTGGCGGCGTGTATGTAGTGATAATACAGTAATAGCCCTCGTATAAGAACCTGGGTTTTAAGAACCTGTTAGGCTTAAATTTTCATTTTAAGCCCCCTCCACATAAGAACCTATTTAGGCTAAAATTTTAAGTTAGGTTCTTATCAGTGGGGTTGCTGTAAAGTGTATAGGTAGAAACTGCTGAATTAAGGTCATCATCTATTTTGTTTTTCATTTCTCCTCATTGCTTGAGCTTGTTATGAATTTGGTATCAACATGAGTTTCTTTGTTATGTTTTGTTAAGGACATATGCTGTACCTGCACTGAACTACCTATAGGCATTGCTCTATAGTACAAATAAATGATTTATACTGTATTATGAGATGATATTTATAATATATATAGTATATTCAGATGAAATTCATATGAAAATATAAGAACCTATTTTAAGAACCTCGGTAGCCTAAATTTGCTTTAAGTACCATTTATATAAGAACCTATTTAGGCTAAATTGAAAAATTCAGGTTCTTATACGCGGGCTATTACTGTAATCGCAATTCACTTCATCTTCATTCAAGGGAAAATAGGGTCGTTAAAGTTCTCGTCGTTTTGTTAAAATGATGGTAAAATAGGAAAACTACAGGACAATCAGGTAATATCTCTTTGACAGTTGTTGAAAATAGCTTGACACAATCCCTCACGCGGCCTGTGCAGACTTTAATACCTGGTTATTCCCCATGCCATGACACATGTACATGCCGGGCTCTCCTCCGGGATCATTTTTTGCCAACGTATCTAGGCACTGGTTTGTACCAAGATTGCGAACCTACCAAAATAAACAAATATAAATTATATTGTCATATTTAGAAGACGAAGGAATACCTTTCAGATTTTTCGTCTCCGTGATTACATTCTACTCTCCCGTAAATATGCACATATCACCAAATTTCCTCCCCTTAAGAATACATATCCTACTCGCCTCTCCTCTTCCGTAAGGATACATATCCGGGACATTCAATTCTGGGATTACATTCTCCAGATACCACTTGAAACTTTTGCAATTCAGTTTCTTTCTTAAAGCTTTCCGCTCGGTTATATCCCCAAAAGATTTCTCCTTGAGCTGAGGCCTCATGGCGTAGAATATTTGTTTGTAATCGTCCATCCATACTTCCGCAAGTCTCATGTTATTTTTGTCAATGGCTCCCTCGCCGATCTTGTACGGCTGGCTCTCTCTGAACACGTGACCAACCTTGGAACATGGCAGGATTTCCAGAGACCCGCCACACATCCAAATCTGAAAATAACCATAAAACTCTGTTTCCTGGCGAATGCTTTGCGGAATTTTTCTCTAAAATAATATTAAAAAACCTTTTATAGGTGTTCATTTTTGAAAATCGTACTTAGAAAATTTTCAGAAACTACGGCTCTAGGAAGTCAGGAAACGAAAAAAGAAAGAGAGAAAAAGAAAAAAAAGAAAAGAAACAAACAAACAAAAGAGGAAGAAAACTGAAACCACCTGACATGAGTACAGTTGAGTAATAATAAAAAACCATTAATTTAAAGATGTCCTTTATCTTGTGTGTCTAATAAACAGAAAGACAAAGCACTCGTGTTAATTAATAGATTTGATCTGAGTGAGCACTCAAACAAACTTAGCAAACCAATAAGGGCGCGGGTATAAAAGTTTAGAAATAGTAAGCGTAGTTTCACTGAGTGACAACAAAAATTTTCTCGGAACTTACCCGAAAGGAAATTTCAACATTTTCTCCTCCCCAATAAGACATTTCAGTATCATAAGAACCGATCTCAAAGAAATACGATCTGTCAATAGCAAACAATCCACCGGCCATTGTTGGTGACCTGAAAAGAGAACACTTTAACATTAACACATAACAATTTGCCGCGAACATTTCCAACTACCCTGTCATTTGTGTTTAATTAATTCGTTCTCTGACTAATTTACGCTACTCGCCAGAACACTTTAACATTAACACATAACAATTTTCCGCGAACATCTCCAACTATCCTGTCATTTGTGTTTAATTAATTCGTTCTCTGATATTTTAGGCTACTTGCCTGATAGGATCAGCATCACTTTTCCGTCGTTTGCTCTCATAATCGGGCAGCGCCCTCCACTTGAAAGTCAATTCCCAATTAAAGACACCTCTATTGTATCCTCCTTTACTTTGCGCGTAACGAAACGTTCTTAAGTCAATCACTTCTATATCTGGTGTAACAACAATAGTTCTGTCATGCGCAATCCTTGCAAGTAGCGGCTCCAACCAACCGTAGTTAGCCTCACAATGAGAATCCAAAAAGACTAGTATATCACCTTTCGCTTGTCTGGCGCCTATAAGACGCGCACGAATTAAGCCCTGACGAGTCTTGGCTCTTATAAGGCGAACTTTGGGAAACCCATGAAGGTACGATTCTAGTTTTTCGTTAAGGTGCGCTGAAAAGAAAAAAGACAAAGAATAGAAGGTTGATTACGTTAAAGCGAATCGT